TCCCCCCCCCCCCCCCCCAATTTTTTTTTTTGCTTCTGGGTTTGCGTATTTGAAGGCTGAATCGCTCTCAAATTCGTATTCTCACTGGTCGTGGTGGAGATCATCTTCGTTCATCGCAAAAGGTATATACATGTGTATATATATATATATTGAATTTGGGAGTCTGAATATTGGGTTTTCGTTTTTCTCCTTTTGTAGCTTCATGTGGTTCGGAATTTGTTGTCGGTGTCTTTTCGATTGCGCTGTTCGTGTTGTTTTTTTTTTCTGGCTCTGATTAGATGAAAAGCTTTGATTGTCCGAATTCATGGACTAAACGTCGTCTTGAAGCGTTTTGGCGAATGGAACACTGCTTAGAATCTGCAAGCTTCCCGTCTCGAAACTAATAGGAAGCTGAAATTCGCTATCAATTGAGGAGAGTTGGCAGCGTTTCTGGCGTTTATTTTGAGGATAGAGGATTAAACATTTTATTTTGTTTCGGATGGATAAGAATCGAGACATGATACGTGTGATTTGTTTTGTTTCTCTGTTGGAGCCTCAGTGTGTGGGTTCTGTTTGATCATTTTCAGACAGAATATGACTACATTAGATGTCACCAGAGCCGAGCTTGCCCTTATAGTTCTGTATCTGAACAAGGCAGAAGCAAGGGATAAGTTATGCAGGGCTATTCAGTATGGCTCGAAATTCTTGAGCGGCGGATTGCCCGGCACCGCCCAAAATGTCGACAAATCCACCAGTTTGGCCCGGAAAGTTTTCCGTCTTTTCAAGGTAGAGAGAAGAGAATGGCTTCAATGTTGCATTTTCCTTGTGTTATATGTGATTTTTTGTTGAACTGATTATGTGCTATTGATGTGCAGTTTGTCAATGATTTGCACGGTCTTATCAGCCCTGTGCCGAAAGGGACTCCTCTCCCTCTTGTTTTACTCGGCAAGGTTCACACAGATCCTTAGAATTAGCTCTCGATTACGTTTTCTGAACCAAGATTCTCCCTTTTTCTATCTGTGTTTGATCGATTACTATGATGCTTCCAGTCCAAGAATGCCCTGCTGTCTACCTTCTTGTTCCTCGATCAAATCGTCTGGCTTGGTAGATCAGGAATATATAAGGTGAAAAGATATGTCCTGTTCGTTACTCCAAAGTTCTCTGTTCTGAGAAGAACATTAGAATTGGCTTAAGATTCTTTGTCTCGTGACAGAACAAAGAACGAAGTGAACTGCTTGGACGCATATCACTTTTCTGCTGGATGGGATCCTCTGTCTGTACAACCTTGGTCGAGGTTAGTATCCTCAACAAGCGACAATTTCCATCTGTAGTTCTGTCCCTTAAAACATACATGTTTTCACGGCTTGCTTGTATGTAAAAAAACCCTATCAGATTGGTGAGCTTGGAAGGCTGTCTTCATCTATGAAGAAGATCGAAAAGGAACTCAAGGGCGGCGACAAGAATCAAGTAAGAATAGGACATTCTCCTCGCTAAAGCTCTTTCTATCTCCACACCACATAGTCTCAAGAACTCATTTCCAGTTTCACAATGCAATGCAGAACGAGCAGTACCGTGCAAAGCACCAAAAATCGAACGAGAGGACTCTGGCTCTGATTAAATCGGGCATGGACATTGTTGTTGCTGTTGGTCTGCTTCAGCTGGCTCCTAAGAAGGTCACTCCTCGTGTCACGGGCGCTTTCGGGTTTGTCACTTCCCTCATTTCATGTTATCAGGTACTCAAACTCGGAACCTTGCTCTCCCCTGTTCAAGTTTCACACGCTTTCCTCTCATCTATACGTGTAACGTTTGTCCACTATTCTTTTCAAATGTAAACAGCTGCTCCCGCCTCGCCCAAAGGCCAAGACACCCTGAAGCTGAAGAAGATGTGGGTTTGGTCTGAATAATTGGTTCGGAATTCATTACTCTGCAGTCTGCAAGCAAAACTTTTGCTGTGTAAGGTCGCCTCGGAACAGAAGTCTCTCCTCTCTGTTGGTCTTTTAGTAATTTGCTGCTGTTACACATCGTGATACACTTTTGCAGGAATGATAATAATAATAATAATAATAAAAGTATTTGATCATAAGATATGTTGATTTTGGCTTTCGAGACTGAATACCACCAAAAGCTCCGCACTTGATGAATGCCATCATTGATGCATTTGCGATTTGCCTGTGATAACGGGTTTTTCAATCGATATTTTGCGTGATTGAATAATTTGATAAAAAAAAAACCTTGAAAATAACTAACCCGAATCCATGCAACTGCTGCAGAACAAGCTGGGAAAACTGTATTAACAAACGGACCTTGTGGTGGCTACAGACAAAACCCCCCAACCATGAGAACATGTACAAGTTCCCAAGACAAAAAAAACCGTGTAGAAGTTCCATAGATCTTGGAGATCATCCGAACCCAAAACCCAATGGGATGATCTGACCCTTTTTCACCCTGAAAAGATTCTCATCCTTTACAAATAATACATCTCACTATCTACAAAACTGTTCTATGCCAAGAATCTCTTTTGCACCTTCAACCGGTAGCACCAAGACAGAATCTACACAAAGCCCACCTTTCGTGTGAGTGCAATCGATCTGGGACATCGAGAATTTGATCTTCGTTGACGAATCTGAATCTTCGACTATGAAATCTCCCACGTGATAGTGAACCCAGTTTCCATGATTGTTGCTAAGATAACATTGAGAAACTGCTTGTTGGCTGTCTGAAGTTGCAAGCTGGAACCTGACAGGTTTTACATCCCATCCGTGGATGTGTTCTGAGTTGCAGATCCTTCGCCCCAGTCTCTTTGATGTCCTGCCGAGCTGTATACGGAAGAAAAGGCTGTATGTTCCAGATGGAAACTGGATCTCAAACTCCCCTTCTACTTCAAACCACCATATTTGTTGAACATATGCAACTGACTGGAATCTGCACACAAACTATTCAAGTCTTTATACATACCAAAAGAAATCCAATAGTCTCCAAACTAACATGATCGTGATTACGTATTAACTTTGATATAATTACCATCTAAAGAATTTAGGACACATTTCAACCATTTTTGGAATGTCTTTACCAGACATTTCAAGAAAGAAACGCATGTTGACCATTAAGTTGTGAAAAAGGAAAAGAACCTAGATTCATCGGTTGGGATATGACTCCAGTATCTCCGATCATCAATCCCGGTGATCCTCAACGCCTTGGAAGAAATCGACAAACAAAGACGACCCGTGTTTTTATCTATCCATAATTCCTGCCAAAGATTCAAACTTCGTCAATTAAAATCTAAAACAGGAAGAAGAAAAGAGGACCTAGAGACAGAGAAAATGAATCAAAGTTTCAACCTTTGTGCCGCCGTCGAAGGGGATGGGCCGACAAAGCCTGGCGTAAAGATCTTTCTTCCTCAATTTCTTCAGAGTATTTTCGTCGAACACCTTCCGTGCAATCACTTTGTAATTCGGAGGCAATTTGGCCTCCCATATGAAATCGGCCGACGACGCGCGACGGAAGACCCTGTTGAGACGAGCCAATCGACAGATCTCCGGCGGGTCGAGCCGCATCATTATCAACGCCACACAATTCTCCGGCACATCGACCAGGCGAACACCGCCGCCGTTCCGACCAAACTCCGCCGAACCGCCCGAGATGTTCGCGCCCATCGCATCAACAACCCGAGCCCAGAAATGGAACCTCCGTATCAAGGGACGTCGACCAAAACCCTAAATATGAATCTCGATTGCATGGCCGCGGAGAATCGTCGATCTGTAGGGCTCCGAAAAAATCCCCAAAAAAAGAAAAGAAGGAAAAGGCGCAAAGGTCCGAACTTGGGTTTTCCTCCGGAAGAGATGATGTCTCGTACGTAGCCGAAGTACACACAACACATATATAATGGAAGCAGATAACCTAGGCTTCGTCCATCATACGATCACCCATTACGACAGCACGATTTGTGGAAATATTCAAAGTCAATTCCTCTAAAACTATATACATATATATATATACACACATATGAACAGTATATTTGTTGAGGGTGTAATTACTACAGTTACAATATAGTATTTTTCTTACCGAAAATTAAAAAATAAAATAAAATTTGTGGAGGCAAAGTGAAAGGCCCCGAATCGTGTCGGGGTAAAGACACGACAGATGGGGGAGCATTCGATTCAGAGACAAAGCAGAATGAGGTGGCCGAAAGTGGGATCTTATCCGCTCACTCAACAGTGTACATATATACGTATTCAATTTGCATATTATATCATTAGAAAATACGGAACTTTCTGCTGCATTTATTGATTTATTTTTTAAATGCGGAAAAAGGTAATAAGTGACGTGGAATATATTCAGCACACGTTATAAATAATTTTGCCTTTCGAGTTTGGTGAATCTTATACATCCGTTGTCGAGCCCACTTTATCCATTTTGTTTTGAGCAGAGTCCTTCGCATAAATTATATAAATGAATAGACGTGGTCGAATATATTAGATTTATTAATAAAATAAAGCAGTATAGTACCAAATAATTAATTAGAAGTCACAGGCGTCCACGTTATATATTTCTCATACGTAGAGAATACAAGCTTTAATCACATATTCAGTAATTTAACGAATTATATAATAATTGTGGTAATTAGCGGATAATATTATTGTGATGAATACACAATTAATTTTATAAAAAATAAAAGATGGTGATGACTGTCACTATATGTCTTGTTTAACCAGAATAAGAAAGATGCGTCCGCTTTTCGGCCGGTTTTGTTTTAAAAATAGTAAATAATTACAGACCCACCACATGCATCACTAGCAACTTTTTCTCTTCTATTATATTTGTATTATTATTATTTTGGTTAATATATTTAAATTTGATCCATATTTATTTTGTAAATACATTATTATTTTGTTTTATTTATTTTCTAAATACAATATTATCACTCGATATATATTTGTACTCTTTTATGATCATTTGAACGGTACGTATAACGCATAAACTCGTTCAATGATATCGCATGCCACATAAATTGTATCCATGCGGTCACATGTTACAGGTCCCTAACCTTTACACGACATCATCCATGAATCAGTCAATGTAAAACCATGTGTATAGTGTTAGTGTATATATATATATATATACACACACATTACATGTATGACGCATGTACATTATCTATACAACATTTAAAATTACACATTGGGACCTTTTAGGCATCGTAATCCAATAATCATTCAACGGTTCATTATAAAACACTGCATATAGTTCCAGTTCCACGTCATTAAGAATTTTAAATTGCATGTATGTATATGTGTATACATACGACTTGTCACCATTAGATTCCACATGTAATGGCTTTAATTTCGACATAAAACTATTTACATTTTCTATCAAGGACCGCGAATTAATTATAAGAAACAAATGGTATATGTTTAATATCCTCTAGAAAATAAACTAATAAACGAATGTTTTGCTAACATTATTGTGATACTATTTTTTTCCCCACCATATTTATAAATGTCATCATCATTACATGACCAGTTAGTTCTACATAATAATAAATAAAGAGAAAATTTACACCAGTATCCAAAAATGTCACGTCATTAGAAATCTATATCTTTTTTTTTCCTTCCTTTGCAAACTATACCTTTTATAAATTTTTGACAAAAATACCCTTACTTTATTGTATAATTTCAATATTGCCATTAAACATTTCAAAAAAATTACAGCATAAAAAATATATTTTATTCAGAAACTATGTTATCTCGAAAAACTGTTTTTTTCATCCGGAATAATTATTTTCCATATGTAAGAATCTGTTTTTATTTGGTTTAACTGTTTTTGTATACGAAAAAAATAAAATTTTTTTTATCAAGAAGAACTGTTTCTCGTCCGAAAAAATTATTTTTTCATTCGGGAAATACTTTTTTTTATCCGAAAGAAATATTTTTTATCCGAAAAAGTCTATTTTCGTTTGGGAGAATACTTTTTTTAGAGAATTGTTTTCATCGGGGAAAAAATGTTTTTTATATGAAAAACATTTTTTTTATACATGAGAATTATTTTTTATTTGGACAAAAAATATACACTCCCGAACGAAAAACAACTCCCTCGAAAAAACAGTTCTTTCGAACAAAAAAAACAAATTTTTCCGAACGAAAAACAGATTTTTCCGGACAAAAAAAATCATCCCGGACAAAAAACAGTTCTCCCGGGCAAAAAAAAATTCTTCCGGATAAAAACAAACTCTCCCGAACAAAAACAGTTATCCTGGACAAAAAACAGACTCTCACGGACGAAAAACAGTTCTCCCGGACAAAAAAAAGACTCTCCCGGACGAAAAAACAGTTCTCCCGGATAAAAAACAGACTCTCCTGGATGGAAAACAGTTCTCCCGGATAAAAACAGTCTCTCCCGCATGAAAAACAGCTTTCCCGAATTACACAGTTTACAAAAAAATCTGCTTTTTATATTGCATATTTTTTAGGACGCTAAATGACAATATTGAAATTATACGATAGTTTTGTCAAAAAATTATAAAAAGATATAGTTTGCAAAGGTCATAACTATTTTGTCATACTTTGCAAAATACAACATTTTTTTGTCACACTTAACCAAGAACTCCATAAATAAAATAGAAAGGCGACCAAATAAATTGATAGTATCTGATAGAATTAATTTCGATTAGTGGTGTTGGCGTTGCATATATTTGTTAATATGTGTGTATATATAGGCGGGTTCTTTTGACAAGTGAAAGAAATCGAATCCAGGAAGACGACATCTGCCCTTCTTGTCGGACACGTCAGCTTTTATCCACTTTGCTTACGTGGTAACCAATCACAACTAAATTTTAGTTCTCCGCACAGTTTTGCTTACGTGGAGACAAATCAGTGGCTACCATCCTCCACGTCATCCACTTAAGCCCGTCCCAATCATATATTTCCTACCTTTTTATAGCCAGAATTATTATTATTATTATTTAAATTCGATCATTATCCGATTTAATAGTTCCAATATTTATTTTTTCATATATCAGTGTAAATAAAACATTGATTGTGTTATCATAAGACCGAGAACAATTGAGTACTTTATCAACTTATAAATGACGTGTTACAATGGAAAAAAAATTCAGAATCTGTTATAGAAAACTAGTTTTATTTATTACAGCAAATAAATATACGACATATACATATAAAGGTTATAATCGAAACCTAATATTTATACCTTTTTTTTTGTCGCAGTTTAGGACGAAGCATGTTGGAACATAATTTAAATAACGGATTATCAAATATAATGTTACAGTTAATGGATGTGAGAGAGATTACCCCTCATATTTTATTTAATGTTTGGTTGAATATTGAAGTTGAAATAACGATGGATGGCAACGGATTACATTTATCAATGATATATTCGATTGGAAGCTTGAGAACGACGTCGTATCTAAAAGCGAAATAGGGAATAGTTCCGTTGATTCTGTTCTTGTTTTCCAATAAATGAGTTATGTTTGGTGAACAAAAAATCATTGGACCAACATATAAAATTAACTATTACAGCATCAAAATCATCGACTTTAACATCGTTTTAATTTCAACTTTATTAAAGATCGTTGTTCGAATGAATTATTCGTTTTCACTCATTTTGATCTTGAATTAGTTCTTTCGGAATTTGAAATAATTTTAAATCATTTCTAATAAGACATTTCTAAATAAACTTAAGGTTAACTATTATAGCAATACTTCCATAAACTTATAAAAGGTCTGACTTCGGCGTTTGGAAGCTTAGAACCATTTGGGAAAATATTAACGGGCTTAATGGGCCAGAGTCCTGAACGACAAATTGGGTTTTTCTTCGGCCCAGCATCTAATATATCAACTTCATCTTTTGTTTGGATCAATAAATGGTTTCGATTGTTTTAGAAATTGTAAGCGTTGGGCAACTTCATCTTTTGTGTATTATTATTATATATTATAATGAAACAATCACTCAAATGATTTGCCCTTTTTTCCGGTGGTGGGTCGAAAAGATTAATCAATCGACAGATAGAGTTGATATTTTTATCAGGGGATGGAAGTTTGGATTCCGCCGGATATGGAATACGGACCATGTAATCAATCATATAATCACGTGGGCGTTGATCATTGTATATCCCCCAACAAGTAACCATATATATATAAATTAATTAATGATATCTTACGGGATATTATGTAATTCACCCAAAACCCAAATAAAATAAAATAAAAAACGGGGTGGGGACAGATACGGCAGAAGGGGCAAGACCGTAAATAAAGAGGCGAGTGGACTTTTTGGCACAAATCAGAGTGGAGAGTCAATCGGCCTTTTCTGGAAGTATTCATTTGTAAGGCTTCGATGACTCCACATCTCCTTCCTTCCCTTTCTATCCTCTCTCTCTCTCTCTCTCTCTCTCTCTCCGTGAGAACAAATCTGGAAACGCCTTCCGTCGTTTCCTTTGGCTTGTCTCTCTCTCTCTTTCTCTCTCAGTCTCCCATTCATGGACATGCACCGAAGCGACAAGCCTCTGCGGTTAGGGCTTTTTTCCCGTTTCCCTCTGGTCTAGACACAACTGAGAGGTGGTGGTGGAGAGAGTGGGGTCCGGTTTCTTCGTTGCCTCCTTCCCTCGTCCCTGCCAGGTTTCTAGAGATTCTCTGGACTCTGGGTAAATACCATTTTTCTTCCTTCACCTTCGATTTCATGAGTTTCAGCGGATTCCTCGATGGTTTCTCAGGCGGCGGCGCCAGGCTCCTTCCCCACATCTCGTACGGCAACCACTTGTCTCCTTCAGCGGCCGGTGCTATTGCTCCCCCCCAACCGTGGTGATCTTGTCCCTCCTCTCGCCAAGTCCATGTTCTCCTCTCCCGGCCTCTCCCTTGGCCTCGTACGGCTTCTCTCTCTCTTCTCTCCTCTTTTGCCTTCTCTTTATGGGGTTTTTGTTTTCTGAAAATCGCCGCAGCAAATGAACGTAGAAAACAACGGAGCGGTGGCGAGAGGGAGCGAGAGTATCGAGGTGAGTGCAATTAGGCGGAGTAGAGAAGAGGAACCGGAGAGTAGATCTGGCAGCGATAATGCCGAAGGATTCTCCGGCGACGACCATGATGCCGCCGATAGGCCTCCCCGGAAGAAGAGATACCACCGACACACTCCCCAGCAAATACAAGAACTCGAATCGTACCCACTTCTGTTTTTTTTTTAACTCTAACAATCATGATTGTTTGTTTGGTCTATTGATTCGTCTTCTCACAATTTTTTGGTTAATGGGTGTTTTAGGGTTTTCAAGGAGTGCCCTCACCCCGATGAGAAACAGCGGCTCGAACTCAGCCGTCGGCTTAGCTTGGACCCTCGACAGATCAAATTCTGGTTCCAGAACCGCCGCACCCAGATGAAGGTTCGGTCCCGTGCATCTGGTTGCTTGTGTTTTTTTTTTCTTTTTTGGTTTCTGATTTTGATTGCTGGTTTTTCGGCAGACACAACTGGAGCGCCACGAGAACTCTTTGTTGCGTCATGAAAACGACAAGCTCCGGTCGGAGAACATGTCGATACGCGAGGCCATGAGGAACCCAATATGCGGCAATTGCGGCGGACCCGCCGTGCTCGGCGAAGTGTGCCTCGAGGAACAACATCTCAGAATCGAGAATGCTCGCCTCAAAGACGAACTCGACCGCGTCTGTGCCTTAGCCGGAAAATTCCTCGGCCGTCCCATTCCATCCGTCTCCGCCTCACATCCCTTGCCCGACTCCGCTCTCGAGCTCGGTGTCGGCTCAAACGCCGGTTTCAGCCTCGCCGCTAACGCTGGATTTGAGATTTCGGTCCCCGGCGCCAGCTTGGCTCCGGTGACCCGACCGCCGTCGGCTAATGCCGTGAATGTCACTGGACTGGAACATAGACCGATGTATCTGGAGCTGGCATTATCCGCCATGGACGAGCTTGTGAAGATGGCGCAAGCGCGAGAGCCACTTTGGGTGAGAAGCTCCGAGTGCGGACGCGAAGTGCTTAACCGCGATGAGTACGACAGGACTTTCTCGTCTTGTGTCGGACCGAAACGAGAAGGGTTCGTGTTGGAAGCTTCTAGAGAGGTCGGGATGGTCATCATCAACAGCTTGGCCCTCGTCGAGACCTTGATGGACTCGGTCTGTACTCCATTAACATGAAATGCTCCGATTGTTCTATTTTTTCACATTTGACACAACAAAAGTTTGATTATTTACCCGCTTATAATATTTATTCATTTGGTAGGAACGATGGGCAGATATGTTTCCGTGTATGATTGCAAGAACTTCGACCACAGAAATCATCTCTAGCGGCGTGGGAGGGACACGAAGCGGCGCTCTTCAGCTGGTATATATGCGTAGCTGTTACATTGCGTTTCACTCGAGATCGGAGATTTTTGTTCATATGCAAATGCAACATATGGGGAAGGACCCGACATGACACTTTCTCCTTTGTTTGGTCGGGGTGTGTATAGATGCAAGCGGAGCTTCAGCTGCTGTCCCCACTCGTGCCAGCTCGACGAGTGAGCTTCCTGCGGTTCTGCAAGCAGCAGGCGGAGGGTGTGTGGGCAGTGGTGGACGTCTCCATCGATGGTGCCATAAGAGACAGCTCGGCCGCAACCGTGTCCGGGTCGCCTAGCTGCAGAAGGCTTCCTTCCGGTTGCCTTGTTCAAGACATGCCCAATGGCTACTCCAAGGTATGATTTTTTACCGCCATCCCAAAGTAAAAATATTATTTTTTTACATGAGAATAAAGGGGAGAGAGAGGAGAGAAAATCATGGGGTGGGTTTTGTTTTGTTGCACAACAAAGGAGTTGGTCGTCTCACGGATCTCACGAAGCTTTTGTCATGTCCTAATGCTGACTTTCCCATAGGTGCCTTTTTTGGTTGATTACACTTTCGATGGTACTTTCTATTTGACTGTAAAGCATTCACGCTGTTCACATCCCTCGATGTTCCAACCGCACTCCCCGTTGACCGTCTTTTAGTGCACTTTACTCTATGATACTAAGCTAAGCTCCTCGTTCTGTCCGAAAATCTTTTAAAAAAATATTGAGAGAATCTAAGAGGTTCTGTATGGATGTCTGAATCTGATGGGGTTGGGGTTTAGTTTAATCGAAATTTCATAGAATAGAACGCCGGGAAGATTACATTATTTTAATGCATAGAATAGAAGCATCTAAATCTCACATATGCCTACGCCCACATTAAATTTCATGTCGTTTCTTGTATATATATATATATATATATAAGTTAAGATGCCAACGATCCTTGGGTTAATATAATCTAAATTGGATTTTGTGTTCTCTCTCTTCTAAAAAAAACCAAGAAATGAAATGTTGTTTTTGCAGGTGACGTGGGTGGAGCATGCGGAGTACGACGAGAGCCAGATTCACCACACGTACCGCCCCTTAGTCAGATGCGGCTTGGCGTTTGGAGCGCACCGGTGGGTGACCTCTCTCCAACGCCAGTGCGAGTTCCTCACCATCCTCATGTCCTCCTCCCCAGACCATTCTCGTAATAACTTCTCCCCTTTCATAGTTTCTCAATAACCATACGGTCATTTTATAACTAATGGACCATATCTGCGGAGGAAAGCAGCCATAAGCTCAAGCGGGAGGAAGAGCATGCTGAAGCTGGCGCAGAGGATGACGGACAACTTCTGCGGCGGCGTGTGCGCGTCTTCGGCTCAGAAATGGAGCCAACTGAACGTGGGGAACATCGACGAGGACGTGAGGATAATGACGAGGAAGAGTGTGGACGACCCCGGCGAGCCTCCGGGTATCGTCCTGAGCGCCGCCACGTCCGTGTGGCTGCCCGAGACGGCGCCTCGGAGGCTCTTCGACTTCCTAAGGGACGAGCGGCTAAGGTCCGAGTGGGATATATTATCAAACGGTGGCCCCATGCAGGAGATGGCCCACATTGCCAAGGGCCAAGACCACTCCAACTGCGTCTCCCTCCTCCGCGTCAGTGTAAGCACTCATCTCCCATCATGTGTATATATATATATATATCATAATCATTATGATGATTTCTGTCTATATAGCTATACAGTATCTATGTTGGGTGTGGAAATGACGTGTGTGACACAGAGTCCTATGAATCTTGTCGTCCTGTATGATTGGAAAAGGACAAAGTAGAAGGACGTGTCTTTTTTTTTGGAAAAAAAAAAATAGTCAAAATAAATAGGACATTTCCGACCTTTTTACTCGCTTTTTTGGCTCTGACCTTTTTTTTAAAAAAATAAATCTTTCTCTCTGCATTATTGTTCCTCGAGATTAAATCGTGTATTGCCCAATTTGCCCCTGTGGGGATTCCAGGCGATGAATGCGAACGAGAGCAGCATGCTGATACTGCAGGAGACGTCCATAGACCCGGCCGGGGCTCTTGTGGTGTACGCACCCGTCGACATCCCGGCCATGCACGTCGTCATGAACGGCGGGGACTCTGCCTACGTGGCGTTGCTCCCCTCCGGCTTCGCCATCCTACCCGACAGCGGCGCCGGACGAACGGACGGCGAAGGAGGGTCGTTACTGACGGTGGCCTTCCAGATACTGGTGAACAGTTTGCCGACGGCAAAGCTGACGGTGGAGTCAGTGGACACCGTTAACAACCTGATATCGTGCACCGTCCAGAAGATCAGAGCGGCTCTTAGCTGCTGAAAACGGGGTTTCTTGAGTCAAGAACGAACCGGCGAACGGTGTTGATGGTTCGGGTATTGACTCGACAAATGTATATTTGATTTTTGGGGAATGATTTTTATGTCGAAATCATTCGGAGATATGAGAATGGTGATTTAGAGAAATGAGGGCATACATGCAATTGTAATCCCTATGCATGGCATTACAATTCGTTGAAATATCGATGTGTTATCTAGGAGTTTAATCTATTCGACTAATTATATAGATAATTAAATACTTATCATATTTTTATTATGTCTCTATTCATTTGTATTGTTTTTCTTAATAACAGAAGGTTTCACAAGTTCGGTACATACAAAAAAATATTTTGTGGGAGGATACAAAACGTTCGGTTCCAATTTAATACGGTAGTTTTGGACCATTTTTTTTTTACCAAACCAAAATAAAAATAAAGCAACTCTTTCGATGATGCACATTAGTTTAATTAATCGGCCCACGTGTTAATTACGCTATGTTTAATTGTTATACATGTGTAAAATTTGGATGACATATATGACACGTGGATGAGCCTACTTGCTGTACGATAAGCCCAATATCTAAGTATGATACTCTAAATTCACTCAAGGCCCAATATGATATCCATTTGTTGTTATTTCACTGAATCACAACGTACCATTGTCTCACCATCGGTCAAATGAATCAAATCATTACATTTTTCCTTTACTTTATGTGGGAATGTAACAATATATATATATATTCATATATATAAATCGTTATCTGTACATGTGAACATGATAATATAGAATTTCTTCCGCACGAAATAAATGCTTTTTTTTTGGGTAATATAATCTTTTGTTGCATGTAACTAAATGAAAGAAATGACAAAATCCATTAAGAAAAGAAATTATAAAATAATAAAACGGCGGAAAGAAGGGTCAAACGAACAGTCAAATTTCCGAATATTCCGCGCGCGTCGATCTAGATTCTCATCTAGAATCCCTCGGCTTCGTAAAAACCCCGAATTGTCTAGGCTATATTAGTAATTTCGTAAGGTTGGTTCAGGAGATTATATCTCTGCCGTCGGATATTGTATAGGATCAGCAATCGACGGTCGTAATTTATAGTTGACGTTTGTACGGAAATTAAGGCTCAGTATGATTGGGTGCTTTGACCACGACGTATCCAAGCGAGTCTGGTTCAGCTGTTTCCAGAGAGACAGATATATATATAGACGTATATGTGTATATATAGATAGAGAGAGAGGGGGAGCCTCTGTAGAGAGAGAGGGAGTATCTGTAGAGAGAGAGAGAGGTACTGTTCTTGTCGATTTCGTTTCTCTGTTTCTGGATTTGACAACGGAGGAGGAGAAGGGGGGAGAGAGAAACTCGAGCTCGCCTGTCTCTCTCTCTCTCCTCTTCTCGTGAGGTTGATTCTGATACCGGTTTAAGTTTTTTTTCCCAGAAAATCAATGGTCTTTTGAAATCTGCAACGATGAATGTGTTGCGTAGGCTGAAGAGCTTTGCCTCTGGGCGTACCTCCGATTCTTCTGATCTCGTAAGTTCCAATTTCCAAATTCTGCGAAAATGGATTCTTTTTCTTGCATTGCAAGGCAGATACATTGCTGGGTTCTCGAGCATTCCGTGTAAAAATTTGATTAATCTCTCGTTCCCAGACAGGGGATGCCGGACCGACAAGACCGGATATCGATCAAGATCGCCAAGTATCAGCATCTACAGCAGACACGACGTCGTCCGAGAGAAATGCCGAGAAAACGCGAGAAACTGCTGCCCCCGCAGAAAATTCGGGCTGCAAGGTGGGGGTCCTCTCGCTCTCTGCTTCTGAAAATTTTGAACGTCTTCTATACATTCACGTGCATATATGTGTAAGAAACAGCTTTTGTCTGAGAGAGATTTCTTCATGGCGATACACAGGATAACAAGGACAGTGGCGTCATCAAGGGCAATGGGGCAGAATCTGGGAGGATTATTACAGTGAGAAAGAAGGGTCTGAATGGTCAGCGAGACCAGGTGATTGATTGATTATATCTTGTTTACCCATTTCATGATCTGTGACATGATTCTGTTTTCGTCAACTGATCTTCCTGATGATTGTTCTAACAATGTTGCTTCCAGACCTTCTCTTACAGATCTGAACATGTTGTTGGCACTGGTTCCTTCGGCGTTGTTTTCCAGGTAGTACAGAACCAGTTACCAAGATTATTAAGGCAGACATATCTATACACATGCATACATACATATATATGTGTGTGTGTTATTTCATTGGCGTTTTGAGTGGGCATTGGGCGACGATGATGCAGGCAAAGTGGCTGGAGATGGGAGAAAGAGTAGCTATCAAGAAGGTGTTGCAGGACAATAGATACAAAAACAGAGAACTTCAGATAATGAGAATGCTGCATCATTCCAACATCGTCGAGCTTAAGAATTCGTTCTTCTCGACCACAGAGAAAGGCGAGCTTTACCTTAACCTCGTTCTCGAATACGTACCCGAGACTGTGTACCGAGCCTCGAGGCACTACACCAAGATGAACCATCACATGCCTTTGATTTTTGTCAAGCTCTACACTTATCAGGTGAAGTTGGAAGCTTTTGAAATAAAAAAAAAATGTCTCCCAAGAGTTTTCTTGTGTGATTCTTATGCTTTTTGCCCTTTTAACCAGATTTGTCGCGCTTTGAACTATATGCACCGAGTAGTCGGAGTTTGCCACCGCGACATCAAGCCGCAAAATCTATTGGTTAGCACTTGAAACTTGGAGGGTAATTCTCGCTCTTCGTTAACTCGGGTGATCCCTTTGCATTGTGCAGGTCAATCCTCATACCCATCAGCTAAAGATATGTGACTTCGGGAGCGCGAAGATATTGGTACGTCTCTCTCTCTCTCTGTCTTTACAGAGATTTAGATTCACTGGTGGGTGATAAAGGGGTTAAGTTCATGATGTAATCTTGTCATAAGGTTCCAGGAGAACCGAACATATCGTACATATGTTCGCGTTACTACAGAGCTCCAGAGCTCATCTTTGGAGCAACAGAGTACACGACTACGATAGATATGTGGTCTGCAGGTTGTGTAATGGGCGAGCTACTACTTGGACAGGTGAAAAACCCTTTTCATGGATTCACTTTCACCTCCGTTTTGCTCTGTTTCTTGAATGTTAATCTTTATCTGCACCTTGATAATGTCCGTAGCCTCTGTTCCCCGGTGAGAGCAACGTCGATCAGTTGGTGGAGATCATTAAGGTAACTTTGCTGTCGCCTTGGTGTTTATACCGATCTTCTCGGGATTTGATCTTTCTTTTTTGGGTGCAAATCTCAGATATTGGGGGCACCGACCAGAGAAGAGATAAGGCACATGAATCCTCGTTACAATGACTTTAAGTTCCCTCAACTGAAAGCTCAACCGTGGCACAAGGTAAAGTTCCAAAGAACGATGATGGGTTTATCGTCATTTGATTTTAAAGACATTTTTCTTGATCTTAAGTTCCATGTTCACCAGATCTTTCTCAGGCAGTTGCCGCCAGAAGCAGTGGATCTTGCTTCGAGACTGCTGCAGTATTCACCAAACATAAGATGCACAGCAGTAAGATATTACAGTCTTCAGTTAATGTCATTGTCTGAAGCCTTCTCTGTCTGAAAATGGATCCTGGTTTTCAGTTGGAAGCATGCGCTCACCCGTTCTTTGATGATCTGAGAGACCCGAGGGCTTGTTTGCCAAACGGCCGAGCCATGCCTCCATTGTTTGATTTCACAGCTCAAGGTTAGTTAGTTAAGTTTTCACTGTATATATATAAGCTTCTCTTCACCAAAAAACTGAAATGGAATCTTGCAGAACTGGAAGGCGCATCTGTTGAATTGCGTCAACGACTAATCCCTGAGCATGCAAAGGAACGAACAAGTTTCGGGTAAAGATTCAGGATTCGGACAGTGAAACGAGAAAGCTCTCTTCCTCTTTAGTTCCCAGCCTCTTGGAGAACTGATAGCTTCTATGGTTTTTTATACGCTTAAGATTTTAAGGTTTTGTTGCTGTAAGATTCCTTGTCCTCCTCAATGTGAAATTATCTGTATAAGGTGGAAAACGTTATTGCTACGAGATTTCTGCATGTGTATATACATATACATATATATACATATCAATTTTTTTTCTGATAATAAACCCCACAGGATGATTTTGATGACTTTTTTTTTTTAAAGTGGAAAATTTCAAACTAGAATTGGATAAAAAATGTTTTTTTTTTTATAAAAATATCAGTATTTCTATTAATAGAAAAAACGAATTAAATAAGAAAAAAAATCGTTATAAATCTTTCTAGAAGCTAAATATCCAAACCCAAATATAATTATTCTGAACCCAAAACGAAGCAATAATATTTTTTCCTCGTTTTTCCGGTCAATAGTTTATTTTACTAATTAAGTAGAATATCAATTTATTAACCATTGAAATAAAAATATAGAATAGTGGAAGAAACAAAGGAAATTTTATTTGGATATAATAATCATAATGCGTTTAACGGAGATTGCATAATTCTCCCAAGTCGTTGCCGAAGACGACAACAGCACCACGTGGTCTTCTTTTTCCGGACACTGAACGCTACGCGTCGAATCCCTAAACGCCAAATCCATCCTTCAAATTGCGTCGTTGTATAATGATCTTGTTTTTACAATTATGGTTATATTATTATTATTATTATTATTATTATTATTATTATTTTAATTAATTAAAACATCCACTTTTGATCAGACGTTCACCCTCGCAGAGTCAGTCGCTTTCATCTGCGTTTCAATCCTTTGGCCCCAGTTACCCAAAATCTATCATCATCCCAGTCGGTGGGTTTCTCTACTGAATTCTGAGTTCGACCCTTTGAAATTCAGACGATTCTTGACCCAAACCTTTTACCAAAATCCGATCTTCATCCCTTCTTCGCTTCCAATTTCGAATCTTGTTGCGCTTACGTTAGCTGGGTCGCTCGTGGATCAGCAGTTCTTTGTTTTTTTAAAGATGTACCCGCCGATCCCTGTACCGGCCTCTTCTTCTCCGGCGATGGATGCGGTGGACGTGTCGCCGCTCCTCGGCCGGAACCGCCGTATTCTTCCCCGTCCTTCTCAGCCTCTGCGTGGGGCCGCGGCGAGGCTGCTCCGGCGAGCAAGCAGCCGACGGATGATGCTACGCGAGCCCTCCGTCCGAGTGCGCGAGAACGCCGCCGAGCAGATTGAGGAGCGACAGAGCGAGTGGGCTTACTCGAGGCCGATCATAGTCCTCGATGTGCTTTGGAATTTAGCCTTCGTGATCGTATCCATCGCGGTTCTAGGGTTTAGTTTAGAGGAAAAGCCGGATGTTCCCCTGAGGTTGTGGATAATTGGGTACAATTTCCAGTGCTTGTTTCATGTTGGATGTGTGATTGCTGAGTATAGGCGACGCAGGGAGGGTAACCATCCTGCTGAGGATTCGGCTTCGAATTCTGGGTCTTTCAGCGGAAACGACGAAGAAGATTCTGATGGTTATGGAACAGAGGAAGCTGGGAATCAGCATGAAACAAGGTGAGATTCCAACTTTCTTCTATCAAATATGCAAATTTACGATTGCTTTATCTTTTAGCCATAGTATAATTCTTGCAGAAACAGAAATCTAAGACAGAAGAGCTGCTTCTATTTCTTTCCAATTCCATTGATACATGTTCTGAAATGTGTTCATAGCTTCTGTCGCAGTTTCGCCAAGCATCTGGAATCTGCAAATACAATGTTCTCGTTCGTTTGGTGGATCATCGGGTTCTACTGGGTCACTGCTGATACCGAAACCCTCTCGCAAAGTTCACCTCTACTCTACTGGTTTGCTTTCTTCTTCTGGCTTCTGGTTTTTGTCTCATGGCGTCGACAGTCAAGTCGCTTATGTCTGGTTTCTTTCCTTTCATTATAATGCAGGCTCTGTGTCGCATTTCTGGCATTTGACGTTATCTTCGTCGTCATCTGCGTCGCTGTTGCTTGCCTGATCGGTATTGCTGTCTGCTGCTGCTTGCCATGCATCATCGCCATCTTGTACGCGTTGGCTGATCGGGTAATATACGACTGAGAGATCAATAATAGTTTGCTTAGATTGCGATCATGCCCGTTTCGTGAATGATAATATCACTGCAAACACCCACATTCAACTTGTTTTTGCCTTTTGTCAATGTGTTCTTTACATCCCAGGAAGGAGCTACAGATGAAGAGATAGAGAGGATACCGAAGTTCAAGTTCCTTGTCGTGAGAAACTCCGAGAAAGTGAACGGTGAAATCCGAGAGACTCAAGGGGGGATAATGACGGAACTCGGCGTCGATTCTCCAACCGAGCGCGTCCTACCGAGCGACGATGCTGTAAGTAACCGTGACTTCATCGTCTTCCCGACCAGAATCTCGTGACTCTAACCCCGCAGAACAAAAAAAAAAAAAAAAAAAAACAATTGGTAAAAATCGAACATACAACACACGATATTCTTTCTTGCCTAGATTTCAGGAATGCTGCATCTGTCTATGTCCGTACGAGGATGGAGCGGAGCTGAGAGAGCTATCTTGCAGGCACCATTTCCACAGCCACTGCATAGACAAATGGCTGCGTATCAACGCCACTTGCCCTCTCTGCAAATTCAACGTTATTAAAACTGGCGACCATAGTGAAGAAGTATGAAGGATGGTGCATCATTCTCTCTAACGACCTGGCCGTACGACTTCATATATATATATACACACACACGATGGCCCTTGATAGCTGCTTGAGATTAGTTTGAGCCTTTCATCTTTTGATTTTTCGATATTTTTTTTTTTTTTTTGTAAATGGCATTACATACGCATACGGTTCGGTGTTAAGCCACCATCGGCATCAGGCCCTTTTTTTTGGTGTGTTCTATCGGTTGGGTTTATATCATCACATGAAGGCTCGCATGGATGAACACGTGGACGAAAAGATGTCGTTAAACGGGATGGTTCGGTCCGGTTCGATTCGAATCAGTTCGTTTTCGACTCAATTCATTGCGGTTCGTTTTTCACGATGTAGAAAAAATTCTAAATCGGCCCAGGGGTTGCCCCTAACTTGTCCTATGCCCCGTTCTATTTACTAAAAAATATTAACTTCATTATAAATTTCAAATAAACATTGTTAGATGTCTTCATGATAAATTTAAATTTATCTCGGATTTTCCGAGAAAAATCAAGAACAATCCAGCAGACTCGGATCCGAATAGATCGTCATATGCGTATGTTATTACTGTCAACACAGTTGGAAAACAACACGGCTCCAAAACGTCTCTTTGAAGATTTGTACTACTTAACGGAAGGTCTTAGATAACTCACTATCTCATTTTCTCGGCATTTAGGAGAAATCTTTTTACCACTTGTGTATGGGAATCCAAACCTTTGAAAATGTTTTCTGTTCTAGTAATTTCTGTAACAATTTCTGAGATTTAATACAATCACATTAAAAAAAAAAAATTTAAATTTATCTATGAAAGTGTAGTAAATTTTGTAATGTTCTCATGAAAATGTTTTCTAGGTCCGCCCATGGTTCGGCCCATTCTTGAGATGTGGAAAACATTGGGGAGTATATAATAAAGGGAATATGTTGGATGATAAAATTGCAATGGATGAGATAATATTTTAGGTGGGGGGGAGACAAAACGTGTGGAATGGAATGTGAGACCAAAGCTGGAGGTTACCTAAACACGTGTTAGGATCCAATCTTTGATTCTTTGAAACATGCATTATTGTCATGCTGACTGAATCTGAATTCTCTCCAACGAAAATTGGTCGAAACCCACCTCCCTTGTCAGAAATATTACGCTCGCAGACCATTGAACGTGGTCAGACAACATGTGAATGCATACCGAACGGCCCTTTTTCAATTTCAACCAAAAATTGTGACGTGCCCCCAACGAAAAAGAAACAAGGGAATTGCTCAGATGCGATTAGATCTCGTCCGTCGGATCAGACGGTAGGTGATGACCCATCATCACGTTAATCGCTGTCATCCTCACCGCAAACCTGTCGGGATTCGAACGTATGACCCTAAAGCCAACATAACCATCGCTTCCGACCACTGGGATATTAGTGGATCGTTGTATTAACGTCTTTATTAATATAACATTGAGCTTATACGTGCACGAGACGGCGCCGCTTTTGTAAAGTCCAAAGGACCAAAATTGGTCACCGAAATCATCTCTAGTGATAAGCACGACAACGTCATCGCCCGCCGATTCTTTTGATTATTCGTATTTCTTTAGTGAATGTTTTCCCCATAAAAAAATTAACATACGATTAGACAACCAACTATTTGTGGACCCCGAATAATAATAATAATAATAATATATGTGGAAAAAAATTGCATTTAAGTGACGACTACCAGTGATGGACAAACAAATGTGGAAGCACGAGGGAGGCGATACGGGGAATTTATTCCAAGTTCTAATCAAGGGTGTTGAATATTTCACATTCACAAAATATTTTTTGTGTAACCAAATATTTCTCGGGTTTTTTAAGGTTTCAAATGCATTAGATGAATGTAGATGGTATCACGTTTCTGTAATGAATTTGGAAGGGTGAAACTCAACGAAATTACCTTTTTACCAAACATATGAAAAAAAAAAGCAAATGGGAATTGAAGCATCATAACATATATATACACGACAACCTTTAAAATTCGTACGTCGTCTCCGTTTGGAAATATATAATATATGATATTTGATAAACCATGTACTCATGCGGCAAGTGCATTTAACCGTAACCATGTGCAGTCCATTGAAATTTGGCAACTTTTATTTCAAATCGGAAACAAAGAAAAGATGATAGCTAATAAATGTGCATATTGACCGGTTTCGTTGGTGAGAGATCCCCCGGTTTATTCATTATTTGAACTGAAGCCGGATTTGGACCCTTGTACGTTGCTGTGGCTGCCATTATTACGCCATTGTTCCTTCTTTTCCACTGTACCAATATTCAAATAAAAATGTTGATTAGCCCTTCGTGCCATTATATTGCAATTTTTGCATCTTCGTTTTGAAATTTTGATTAGACCCAGTTTCGTGAACATGATCATGACGATGATGTGTTCTTTGGTGTTTACGTGAATAAAAACTTTGTAATATACGTATGGACTTCCACCACCATTTTCATTGATTTGATATTTCACACGCACGTAAGAACACGGTCCAATGAATATGGGTTTGAATCTCTGTGTTTTTTTGTATGATTCCGAATTTTTCGAAACCTACAAATTAATAACAAACCAAACAAAAAAAAATTGAAAGAAAAAAATTAGTCATTAGCGCGGTTGATACCCACACCATATAGGAACTCCGGTGACAATTCGTCCGCCGGAAAACGCTGTCATCGTCGTCGCCGGTCGCCACAACCCCGCCGCCGGCGACGAGCACACGCTGTAATTCGCTGCCGGCTTCTTCTCCGTTGTCGGCGTCTTTTCGGGACCGAATCTGGGATCGGGTTTCACTCTGATCGAGACGTTGACGATCCCGCTCTTGTCTCCGTACTCGTCCCTCAATCTGTAACTCAGAAAGTTCAAGTGGCCTTCGGGTGAATAACCTCCTATGAAATCTGTCGCCGGAATTGTCGCGAGACCGATTTGCTTCTCAGACCCAGAACCTGTTCGATATAATACCTCAACGGACACGAACTGGACTCTCCCGTTCATCGGCATCTCCATCTCGAACTTGTCGTTCCAAGTCGGATGGCTTCCGCCGCATTCGTCGGGCTTCGTCTTACGAACGTTGAACGGATCTGTCTTCACGACCGCGAACGTGTTTCTCCGGCCGGCGATTGGTCTCCGGTTAACTCTGAGATCTTCCGCCGATATTAACGTAATCTCAAGATGTCGGGACATGTTGGGTTAGTCGTCTCCTCTCCACAGCCCGTGTATCGGTTATATGTAAAGATCTTGTTGTCAATCACCAGGGTTTAGGGTTTTTGGCTGAACGTGAGGATGAGAGAGAGATGGATTCTATATATATATATATATATATCGGGTTCCTGATAGGAAAGTCTCAAGAAGAAAAGGCGGAAACCGGTTGCCTGCTTCTCGCCTGTTTCCAAGCAGTATCAGTACCTTTTTTTTTCTTCCCAAAAACAAAATTTACATATTCGAATTTTAAAAAAAACTTTTATCCAAATACCAAAAATATCACCGGAAAATAAATAAAATTGTATAATTTTAAAAAATATATAAATACCTTTAATTTTAAAATATAATTAAAATATCAACCTCCCATAAATATTTTGTATAAAAATCTATACAAAAATTTATTTTTCAATAATGAACTGATTTCATCTCAAATTAAAATAAATATTTATGATTTTAATTTATTATTAAAATTAAATCAGTAATCATTTAATATATTATAAAAATAAAAATAATTTAGACATATAAATAAAAAAAAATTTGGTAATCAATATATAAATAATTTAAGTTGTAATTTAGAACTTCCTAACAATAATATCACTGTAAATACGAATGTTGACTTTTGCCGTGAAGATATGGGCAGTAAACAATGTAACATAATTAAAGATGTATACATTTACATATGGCGTGTTGTAAATTACTAATAAAACAACTTTGAAACAGCTACACAAAATACTTTTAATATATGTGTATTCTAGGTTCTAAACCAAGGTCCATATTATTTTTTTTTAGATAATCGAGTATCCTAAACCAAGGTCCATACTAATTTCGATATCGAAAATTATCCATATGATTTGAATTATATTTTTTCTTCCCAAAATTGAGATTCAACCTTAGAACGAGACAAAACGTTTGCATCTCCATTTAATCAATTGAGCTACCTAAGTTTTAGATTACCATATTAAAAAAAAAAAGTGATATTTTAACAAAGATTGAGCGATATTCCTAAGCTTATAATCACATTTAAATGCTAAATAATTTAATTTGGCATGTATGTCATCTACTAGTTTTTTTTTTTAGTCTAGATATGCACAACGATATATATATATAACACTAAGTTGGTCCAATTGGAATATAAGCATGAAAGATATGCGGAAACTAACCAAAGGCTGAAATGTTCAATGATTGACTCGTTGACACGGCGCGTGGCGTGCACGCAGCCACTTCGGTTTCTTCTTCTAGCCTTCGTTTTTTTTTCTTCTCAATTTATTTATTTTTTAAAAAAAAAATTGAGCAAAGCTGAATATTCTTCAGACGTGGAATGAGAGCGTTGAGACTTGAGAGTAAGAGTAATGATAGACCTTTTCAAATTCAGGTTATCTTTTGTTGTGGGACACACACCCTTTCTCGTTTTGTCCGTTGCTTTCATTTCTCCGAACATTTCTTCTCTTTTTTCCATCATTATTTACGTCAATCACCACCCCTTATAAATTAATATCCATTTATTAATAATAACAAAACATTTTTTTTATAACCGAGAGGTTCACCTGAATCTTCGGCCCAACCTACATCCTTTCAGACCCGAAAACAGTCTTTATCCAGAAAGCAACACCTTAAATACACCGTTCCCTCTCCATCAGCTGGTTTCGAACTGGCGACCGGGGCCAGAGAGCAACACCATTTCACCACTCCGTCACCCACTTATGGATATAATAATAATAAAACGTTATCCTGAACAAACCCGAAATCCGATTCTATAGAACTCGGTTCAGTTCGAATTCGGATCGGGCCGGTCGAGTCAATCCCTTTAATATATATATATATATATATTAGTTTTCATGAATTTTTTTTAATTGATCTTTCGGACTGTTTCGAAATATGTCGGATTTAACCTGATAAAATCCGAGTTTGATTTATACCGTATCCGAAAATTCAAAACTGTTAGGATCTATATATATTTTAAAACTCAAAATCCGATATTTTTAAAATGAACCCGCATCGAATTTGAACTTGGAGTTTCGAACACCCACAAGACCAATCTATACATACGTGAAAGGGTCGGAATAATCTCCAACGAAACGTGTCGGCTTCATGATTCTTGGATGGTGTTTTTGCATGCGTAAGAAAAAATGATGTAATCTAACTCACATCAGCAATTGTGGAAAATCCATCTTATCGAAATCCGGTGGGATCTGGTTAACCAATGACAATGCTTTATAGTTTATATTATAGACTTGACACTGACTATATATATATATATATATATATGGGAAAAATAGTTCGTTCACTATCGAGAGAACCAACAAAAATACTTTCTAGGGTTATATATGTAGGTGCATATTGATTTGTATCAGCTCTTGCTTTGTCCTTTCGAGGCAATTATAAGTTGCATGATTCACGAAGCACCCAACTCTTGTTGGCGTCAGGAACCCACTTGCTATTCTCTTAAGATGAATCCTTCCGTATTGTTTTATATTCACAATCGAAACGTACGTCCGTATGTATAATGAGTGTATAATCGTCAATGAGAAGTAGAGTTTACTGATCATTGCTAATAATGTCCATGATTATACCCAATTATAGTTTATTGGGTAAAAAGTTTGCATAATTAATACTATATCTTATAAATTGTTTCATACGTTTTCGTTCGGGTTATAATTGCTAATGGTTCCGTAATTTCTAGTATATATATAGCTGGCATTATTAATGATTAGGCCAAAATTAGGTGGTTCTAGTTTCATTATTTCTGTCCCCCCGCACACAGAGAGGCCACGTGGTATTTCACATGAATTTCGTTATATATATAGATATAGATTTCTGACTTTTGCAAAATAGCAAAGTCTTTCTACATAAAATTTCCACGAAACTTACTATAGATCGACATACACTCACTCTTTTTTCCTTACAGCTCCATTGATTTGTCTAACGTCTCTCCGCGAACGTATCCGCTATGACGTGTCGTCACCCTGTTACGTCTTCGTTTAGCATATATATGCATATATATATATATGGACTTACCAAGACTTGGTTATATATATATATATGTATATATGTATTTACTTACCAAAATTGAAGAAAAAGACAAAAGACTTGGTAATAAGGACATAGGAGATGGATAATGGACGCACGATGTTTTTCAAGAGGTGTATGTAGTCGGAATCTTCAACCTTCCAATATTCTGAGATAAATCAGTCCAAAATAAAAGCATACGCACAATGCTATATATATATATATACATATGCATACAGTATTACATACTTGGATTCCAGAGTCTGATTTATTTTAAATCTCATAAAATGATAGTCCAAATCCATCCATCAAAATGGCAGAGTCGCAAATTATAAAATTTTATTATTTGTCGGTAACAATGGAATACCAAGTTTATGCATTTTATTCCATTGATAATATTGTTAGTTTTATTGTATATACATAAAAAATTCTCCTAGTTTATCTATATTTAATATCAAAGACGTTTCATCACATAACAACCCGGTCCTTCGAAGTTTGGTCTAATTGTTAAAAAGTCCATGAATTTCCAAGAGATCATGAAATTGATTCCACTCTTCAGCGAGACTGTCACTGATTTACAGACTATTACGTGGAGGCAGAAGGTTTATCAATGCATCCGAAGGGTTATGGATGAGTTCTCGCCATTACAAAAGAAAACCATCGATGCGACTAGGGTTTTGGGACACTAACCCATCGACGCGGCTTGTAAACCCCCAAGCATTAAGGACACTGCTTGCAGATCGTTAAGCATAAGATTGGTAATGGTAGAACCACTTTTGTTTTGGCTTCATGAATGGAACCTTGGACCACTAATCGATTACATTGGGAGTCCGGACCTCAGCAGTTGCGCTTAGCGAAGCATTGCACCGTTTAGAGAAGCAGCCACAGGACCTTGCCAAGCGACGATAATGGACCAGACACAGCCTTATCATGGGAAAAACGAGTTCAAGGACGTTAAGACATGGAGCCAAATCAGAACTTCAGCACCTCGTGTCCTTGGTCTGTCGCGCTTGTATGGTTCCGTTTCTCTATACCCCGTTATGCTTTCGTACAGTGGCAGGCTCTTCTGCTGACGTTTACCGACCAAGGATATATAGGCTCTGTCGATGTCGATGGGGAATCCAAGTTGGAAGTCAATGCGTCTGTTTTACCAAGTCTTGTACATTTAGACTAATCCTCGTTCGTCGTTTTTGTGTCTATGCATTAAGCGGAACTAGTTCGAACTTCTGATCGATGGTTAAGAGACAAAGATGTAGAACAATCAACACCAATCATTCGTATTTTTCGAAACTGAAACACGAAACATTATCATCTTCGGACGGGAGCTACCATTGATGCCCAGCAACTAGATCCCAGAGAACTGGTTCCACCTCACCCTAGATACCTTCGTTTCATGCGAATGTAGCCATTTGCCTATGGGAATCCCTTTGGGTTTGTATACTCTCTAAAGTAGGGGTGGACGTTTCGGAAAACGGTTCGGATTCTTTCGGTTTTATAAAAATAGGTACCAATCGGTTTTTATATTGTATTCGGTTCGGTTTCGAGTTTTATTAAAAAAATGATAGATTTTCTTTAAAAATATTCAGTCTTTTCGGGATTTTTAAAGTTCGATTCGGTTCGGTTTCGGAAAAATTCGATTCTCTAAAAATGGTACCGTTCGAAAATTAAGAACGGTTTCGGATCGAAAAAAATACCGTTTTTCAATTATCTTTGGTCCGGTTCCGAAGAACGGAAGCGAAACGCCCAATCCTATTCTAAAGGACGAGATGTAAATATTCATATTTAACCAAAAAAATAATCATATAACAACAATCTAAAACGCAGCGTTTTGAGGGGCCGATTTTATCCGATACTAATCTCTCATCCATTTTGTCCTTTTTCCCGCACAGCTCCACACTCTGCGAGGGCCGTGGCCATGGCATCTTCAGCTCACCTCTCGTTTCTCGCCGGGCGTTCGGCCCTTATCTCCGGAGACGGCGTCAGGTTCTCCCCAAACCGGCCCGCATGGTCCCGTCTCCGTTGCTCCGCCGGTCAGAGCGGGTTCTTCACGCGTCTGGGTCGCTTGATAAAGGAGAAGGCCAAGAGCGACGTCGAGAAGGTTTTCTCCGGATTCTCCAAGACCAGAGACAATCTCGCTGTAATCGACGAGCTCTTGCTCTACTGGAATCTCGCCGACACCGACCGAGTTCTCGATGAGCTCGAAGAGGTTTGCTTGTTTGTTTGATTTCTCTTGGTTTTGATGCGGAAAGGGAAGTTCCGTTAAGTCTAATTGAGCTTAATTTCGCTGCTAGGCGCTGTTGGTGTCTGATTTCGGACCGAAGATTACGATTAGAATTGTCGAGAAGCTGCGGGATGATATAATGTCTGGGAAACTCAAGTCAGGAAGCGAAATAAAGGTAATCTGAATCGAAATTGTATACTCTCTCGTGTATGTGACGTTTTGGTTCCACGATGGTTGTTTGCGTACTCAAAATGTGAAAATGTGAGATGGACATGGATGTAGGATGCATTGAAGAACAGTGTTCTGGAGATACTGTCCAAGAAAAGCAACAAGACAGAGCTTCAATTGGGTTTCAGGTTCTAACTTTGTCCTCGGCTACTCGTCATACCCTTTTTTTCCACTTGTCTTGTGCTCTGTCAATGAGGAGTTATGAGTTAAGGTTGTTCCTATGTCATGGTATTGGTACCAGGAAACCGGCTGTTATCATGATTGTTGGTGTTAATGGAGGGGGGAAGACGACATCTCTTGGGAAGGCAACCCACATAGAGTAGAAATACTAGCTGAATCATCAGACACTTCGATCACAATACACCATTGGATGGACTCCCATTGCTGGCTTGGCCCCTGAATGAGATGATAATACATAAGGTTGGCTTTTGTTTTCCAGGAAAGCTGGCTCATAGATTGAAGAACGAAGGAACCAAGGTAAATTTTTGAGCTACCATGCTTTGTATGCTATTGAGGACAGGGAATATACGTTGTTAGGATGCTGAAGAAGTAGAGTTTTTTTTTTTCTTGTTGAGGATTTGAGTGGACATTGGAAATTCATGCTAAAAGGGGTTTCGAGCCTTTGTAAAGGTAGCTAGAATCCAGTGTCAGTGTGTTCATCATCAATACTGTGATGAACTGTGATAGGTATTAATGGCAGCAGGTGATACATTTAGAGCCGCTGCAAGTGATCAGCTAGAGATATGGGCAGAGAGGACAGGGTGCGAGATTGTCGTGGCCGAAGGAGAGAAGGCCAAAGCGTCTTCAGGTGGATAAATGGATTGTTTGGATTCGTCATCGTTGTAAAATATCAGTGGAAGAGCTCAGTATTTTTAGCTCACCGTCGAATTTGCTTTCTGAATAGTTCTCTCACAGGCTGTGAAAAGAGGGAAGGAGGAAGGTTTTGATGTTGTTCTGTGTGACACTTCTGGACGTGAGTACATCAATCTTTGTTTGTTAACCAACCCTTGAAATGTGTTGAGCCGCTGCTTAACTGATCGGGGAATATTAAATTTCTTTGATGAAGGTCTGCATACTAATTTCAGCTTGATGGAAGAACTGATTGCATGCAAGAAAGCAGTGGGAAAGGTCGTCTCTGGTGCACCAAATGTGAGCCTTTCTCATTACCCTATTTCGTCTAGTCCTTGCTGAAAGCCGTTTTTCTCGTTACAGAGACACTATTTTAGACTATGTTTGCTTGAACAAGGAATTGCAACTTGCTTCTCAATTTGTTGCAAATTATGGCAGGACAATGCTAATGAACGAATATTCTCTACTGCACGATATTTTTCGTTGACCCTTGGCTAAATCATGTTCACGGCATTGCCAGGAGATCTTGCTTGTCCTTGACGGGAACACTGGCTTGAACATGCTTCCACAAGCTAGAGAATTCAACGAGGTACCATGCCGCTCATCTGTATATGAAAGATGGCTCATGGGTTTCAGGATTCCACATCCGACAATCTAAACCTAGATTATGACAAACTGAGCAGTGATATTTTCTGGTCTTGGTCACTCTTTC